GTGTTCCAGTAGTCCCTGTGTGACAGGGACACAATGTGGATGTGTCTCTGGGTTGATCCATAGGCAGCAGCCATTTTTGAAGTGGGAGACAGGAAGTGAGGGATCTCTGCAGAAGGGGTTTGCAGAGGGGGGCTGTAGAGGGTTGTTGCCTCATTTCTTTGACTTGTCCTGACCCTATTGGAGGGTGCCTTCGTGGATGGAACCTTTCTCAGCCCTGACAGGTTTTCCCAGATGCCCTCTGCAGCAGTCCCAGCTGCACCATGTGGCCCCGCATTGGAGGCATCCCACCACAACTCAATGGCATGGTTCCTTGAAGGACCCCTGACCCTGTCCTGTCTCCTGTCCCACCTAGCGCATCCAGAGCTTCTGGCCCAGCAGAAGCTTGGGGATAACCCTGAATGACCCCTTCCAGGACACATACTTGTCTTCTCCAAACCAGAATTCAGGTCTGGGATGCCCCTTCCAGATGACTACAGGGAACACTACCACTACCCGGTGCAGTCTAACCCACAAAGACAGAACCTAAGAGCCTATAGTGTGACCTCTTCCTAGAGGTTTTCTTTGTGCCTCTTTTCCCCTTCCTTCAGCACTCCCTTTCTGTCCTTAACCCACTCTTCCCTGGATGGCAGTTGATGCAGAGGGGAGGCCTCTCCAGCCTGGAGAGTGAAGGGAGGTGCTAGTTGATGAGGGTGGGCAGAGGGTACTACACAGTAATCTCAGATACTGGTAGCTTTTCTGTTTTTCCCCTCTTTTGCTTAGAATAGAAGGGGTTCAGTTCCTGAACCATATTTACAGTTTCTCTCCTCCTTTCTTCTGGGTTCCTCCTTTTCATCTTTTATTGTCCTAAGTCAGGATGTAGTTTAGTGGGGCACGTAATTGGAATCCATCTTTGCATATAACTACAACATGCTGCCCCAAGAAGGCTAAAGTTAAGGATAGAGAAGTCTTCCTTATGTATCAGTACCTTCTTAAAGGAGGGATTTTATTCTATATTTTTTATTATTTATTAAGATTTTATTTATTTTTAGACAGAAGGGAGAGGAAGGAGAGAGGGAGAGAAACATCAATGTGTGGTTACCTCTTGAGACCTTTCTACTGGAGACCTGGCCTGCAACCCAGGCATGTGCCCTGACTGGGAACTCAACCAGCAACCCTTTGGTTTGCAGGCTGACACTCAATTCACTGAGCTACTCCAGCCAGGGTGGATTTCTTTTTTTTAAGAGGAAAAGCAAATCTAGGCTTTCAGCCTGATCCAGCCAAAAAAATCCTAGGAGTGGGGGCAGGACTGAGACCCTTCATTCCCTAACATTAATATTGTTTCTTTAAAGTTATTGGGTTTACTTTTCACTTCCTGAAGGCCCACAACATAAGCTATCAAACAGAATGTTTTGTCTTTTATCTCTATGTCTGGGCCCAGGAAGAGGCAGTGGCTAGATTTAAAGGCTGGGGAATTAAGCTTACGGAATTTGGGCTAGGGTTCCTATAGAGCCTTTATAGCCATCAGCACAGTCAAGGCCTGGGGGGCAGTTTTAAGTTTCAGCTCCAACTCTTCCTGTGTGACAAAGCTACCTCAGCCTCCTTAAAACAAAACAAAACAAAAAACAAAACAAAACAAAACAAAACAAAACAAAACAAAACAAATACACCCCCCAAAAACAACCAGAAAATAAAAAGCTTTTATCATAGAAACATTTATATACATGAGGTTCAACCTCATGTATTGTTAATATAACCAGAAGGATTTGCGTGACATTTATGTAACCTGGCAGCCAAGGAGAGTGGACTGGAATGCACATGTGTGAGCAATGATGACTTCACTGTGCTAGTCAGTGGGGGCGGTAGATGCTATTGAGTGAGCATGTGTACTGTGTGGCCATGGCATTCAAAATGACTGAGTAAGTAGAGCAATGGATTTGCATTAAATTTTGTGTTAAGCTTGAACATTTCTCCTTGGAAACTACTCAGATGATTCAGAAATCTGCAGCTATGGGTAGCTAGTGATTGGCAGCTTCATTATGACAACATGCCCACTCATGTATCATATCTTGTATAGAGGGGTTTTTTGTTGTTTTTTTTTTTGGCAAAACATCAAATCACCTAGGTGACTCAGTCCCTTTACAGCCCAGATTTGGTGCCCCATGGCATCTGGCTTTTTTAAAAACTAAAATCATCACCCTGGCTGGTATAGCTCAGTTGACTGAGCGAGGACTTATGAACCAAAGGGTTGTGGTTTGATTCCCAGTTGGGGCACATGCCTGGGTTGTGGGCCAGGTACCCAGTAGGGGGTATGTGGGAGGCAACCACACATTGATGTTTCTCTCCCTCTCTTTCGCCTTCCCTTCCCCTCTCTCTAAAAATAAATAAATAAAATCTTTAAAAAATCATCTTTGAAAGGAAGTAGATTTCAGACCATCAATTAGATTTGGGAAAATATGATGGGGCAGCTGACAGAGAGTGGGAGAATTGTGTGAGGTCTCAAGGTGAGTACTCTGAAGGGGACTGAGACATCACTGTCTTATGTACAATGTTTCTTATATATTCAATAATGTCTCTATTTTTCATAGTACATGGCTGGATACTTTCTGGATAGACCTCGTATATACAAAAATAAACAATATCTTATAATAAACCCCATGTACCTATTACCCAACTTCAATAAGAATCCTTATCTGAAGATATGTTTATTGATTTTTAGAGAAAGAGAGAGGGAGAGAGAGTCATCTATGTGAGAAACATCAATTGGTTGCTTCCTGTATGTAACCTGACTTAGGATCAAACTTGCAACCTAGGTATGTTCCCTGATCAGGAATCGAACCTGCAACCTTTTGGTGTATGGAATGACCCTCCAACTGAGCCATCCAGCCAGGGCAGATATGCTTTATAATTTGAGCCATGAGTTCATACAGATACTTCCTAATTAAATCAAGACTACAAGAAATTTGTATAAATCAGATTTTAGATCTGCATCATTTTTCCTGTTCTAATACAAATAAACATAATTTTTTTTCCCAATTTTTTATTGTGGCAAAATATGCATAACATAAAATTTATCATCTTGATCATTTTTAAGTGTACATTTGTATATTCATAATGTTGTACAACTATCACTACCATTCATCACCATAACTCTTTTCATCTTATAAAATTAAAACTCTATATCAGAGATTTTCAACTGGTGTGCCACAAGAATTTTTAAAACATGTAATACTTGACTATTTAGTCAGGGGACCTGACCTCTTTTCCTTTAGCCTGTCAAATAAAATGACAACAGCCAACACAATGATAGCTGTCCAGTATGAATAAATCAAAGTTGAGCCTATTTTTGTCAGATCAGCAAAAAACAAACAAACAAACAAAAAAATATATAGTTTGGTGTGCTGGAGAATTTTAGTAATTAGTCTAAGTTTGTCGTGAGGTGAAAAAGGCTGAAAATCGCTGCACTATACCCATTAATTTCCCATTTCTCCCTCCTCCTCCCCAGACCTCCTTGGCAAGCTCCCATTCTACTATCTGTCTTTATGATTTTAACTACTTTAAATACCTTATATTGGTGGGATCATACAGTGTTTGTCTTTTTTTGACACTCAGTAGTTTCTATACTATAGTTGTTTCTATACTAGTTTCAGGTGTACAGCATAGTGATCAGACGACTATATAATTTATGAAGTAATCTCAACATAATTATATTTTAGCCTTCACATTTCACCTATTCCTGACAATATGTCTACTGAATACAATTTAATATTTTATGCCAATTTTTTAAATGGCAGTTGATTTTGTCCCTAGGGTAGATCTTTGGATGTACAGCTAAAACAGTGTGTTTTCAAGTCATTCAGAAGAGTTTCCTTCTCTGCATTTAGGCCGCCAACTAGACATACATTTAGGTTCATGTGTTTCATTTTACTTTCAATCTTTAGGGTCTGATTTTTAAAAATTATTTTTTATCACACAATCAGGTAAAACATAGGTTTCTGCAGTCAAATGAACAAAGTATTTCAGTCTTGCCTCTTTTCTCTTCATTCTGTTCTCTCCAAGTTAAGTAACTATTGAAAATTTTAAATGTTATACTTCCATTAAGAAAATGTATTTATTTACATTTGTAGCTCCCCACTCCCTTTTACAAATGAAGAGTAGAAGGAATGAGCCTACTTTCTTATTACTGACTTCAGCAGGTAAGCCTCTAGCATTCACCACTGAGATCCTCAAAAACTTTTTTTGTAAAACAAGGGCAACACTATCCATTCTATCTGATCTTCCGCAGCATTTCTTGGGAAGATAAAGGATGTGAATACTCTCAAACAGAAAAGTGATACACCAACATGCCTGCTGAATTATTAACTCATTTTTCGTAGATTCTCGGAGTCCTGAACCCAAGAACAGAGGTTCACAGAATTGAGGACCTGCCTAAGGAACACTGGGAATGAGCAGACCTCCTGCCTTCTGGTTTGGAGTCTAGGGGTTGGATAATCCAGAAAGCCCTCCTTTAAAAACAAAAAACAAAAAGCCAAAACTGTATGCAACATACAAATATCTATTTTTATAGAGACAAATAGTTTAGAAGATCCTCGAAAAGGAAAAAGTCAAAAAGCCTCATGGCCGAGTGAGGCAGTTAACGCTCAGATAACCATGTGGCCAGGAGGCTGGTCAGCGAGCCCTGCCCTCAAACTGGGAAGCTCTGGTCCAAGCTCAGAGGTGACAGAAAATCCGGAGATAATGTGAAGTCACGGGGTAGGGAGGTCCAATACAGTGAAGCTGGACAGTTAAGTTAAAGCTGACATCCCGACAGGGAGGGCTGACACACATGGGACTCCAGCAGAAGCTTTCCAGGTGAAGATTTCAATAGGCAAGGACACAATATCATGGATTTCGAAAGGAAAACTGGTACTGATGAGGATCCGTAGGGCTTCCACAGGCTTCAACCCTAAAAATTCCAGCCTAGGGGTGGAGCCGAGATTGCGGGAAGATGCCCACTAAAGACACGTGGAGCAGCAACGGAAATGACGTTTACGAAATGTCGCTAGCGTAGGGACTAACGGTTTCCGGTAGCGGAGGAGCCGAGAAGAGGGGGTGTGAGCAGATGCCCTGTGACCCTTGGCCCCTAGTAACCTAGTGCCCCTGCAGCCAGTTCCAAAATGATGGGCTGCGGAGAGTCAGAGATAAAATCCGCAAAAGGGGAAGAGGCCGTGGTGGCCCCGGGACCACCTCCAGAACCCCGTGCCGCGGACCCCGGAGCTCCAGTGCCCGAGCCCGGACTGGACCTGAGCCTGAGCCCGCGTTCCGAGAGCCCCGAGCGGCAAAACTGCAGCCCGAGGCGGCGGAAGTGGGGGACAAACGAGCGGGGCGGGGCCCGCAAGGGGCGGCAGGTGAGCTGGCGTAAGGCCTGGCTGGCAGCCCCGCAACGACCTTGCACCCCTTTCTTCACCACCTTCCTTTCTGCTACTAGGTCCGCTTCCGCCTGGCACCGCCCTCCCCAGCCCAGTTCGAGCCGCTGCCGGTCACCGGCGCACCTAGCGAGAAGCCTGTGGCATCCCAGGACTTGGGTGCGCCTGCGCAGCACAGCAGCCTGGCTTTGAGCCTTGAGCTGCAGGCTGCGAGGGCCGCAGCCGCGGGCCAGTTCGATGCCGCAAAGGCGGTGGAGGAACAGCTGAGAAAGTCGTTCCAGACCCGCTGTGTCGTGGAGGAGAGCGTAGCCGAGGGTGAGGGGGGTAGAGGGCAGGCCAGGTGCGGGAGTAGGGGTGAGAGGCGTAGCTCACTCCCGCTTCCCTTGCGGTCTCAGGGCTGAACGTGCCGCGCTCCAAGCGGCTTTTCCGGGACCTGGTGAGCCTGCAGGTGCCGGAGGAACAAGTTCTGAATGCTGCGCTGAGGGAGAGGTTGGCGCTCCTGCCACTCCATGCTCGAGCCCCGCCCCCAAAGGTGAGGGATTTGGAATCCGATCCCCTTCCATGTTCCCTGCCCTCTTTTGCCACGGGTTCTTTTCTCCGAGTGTAACCTCGCTTTGGACTCCAATTCCAACAGGAGCCACCTGGGCCAGGGCCAGACATGACTATGTTGTGTGACCCAGAAACGTTATTTTATGAATCTCCACACCTGACCCTGGACAGTCTACCCTCTCTGCACCTTCAACTCCGGCCGCGCCCTTCAGAGGATACCTTTCTCATGCATCAGACACTGAGGCGATGGGAAGTGTAGACCTGGAGGCTCACAGAATTATTATAGTTCATAAGTATCAAAATAAAGTGGTTTTGCTAATAAATGGGACTTTTTCTTGGCGGCTTAAAGTGGAGTCAAGCTGCGGGTTGGAAACTGCCTGGGAGTTTTTTGCCCCCCTCTCCCATTTCTAAGGAAGTCAGTAATGACAAGTATGAAACACTAGTTGAAGCCAGCGTTTTAGATACTTTCCCCGTATCTTCCTAAAGTCACACCTACCACCTTTGTTTTTTATAACACTCCACTTGTTTCTTTGCACGGCTAGTTTCTGATCACTTTAACAGGTGGGTCTCAGCCCCCTGACTCAGGGAACCTGCAAGGTAGCTACTAGCACCTAGTTAAATTATCTCCCTTTACTTTCAAGAGCCTTGCCCATCTTTACTCCTGACCAAGGAGTTCTCACTGTTGAATGTCCAAAGGTCCAGGTACATTTACAAGCTGAAGAGCTACACGTGAAGTTAAACTGCCTATTAGTCTGGTTCCACACCACCAAAACAGGAAGGTGCATGTAGGTAGGTCCTATAGCAGGAAGGTGATCTGATCCAAAGTGTCTTTTTTGAACTTTACTGTTAACTTTCAAAGTTAGCCTTCTGCCAAAACTTCCACAAAAAAAGTTGTCAAGGAGTTTTCATTTCAGAGGTGTGGGGGAAAACTAATTTTCACATCAAAATTTGCATTATACCCCCTTTTCCTAGCTGGGGTTTTATATAGTTATGTGTAGATCTGGCAATCCATTATCTTCCCAAACACTGTAAAAAACCTGAAACTATAGTTTGGGCAGAGGAAGCACAGGTGGTACTGGCAGGTACCACCCCTTCCCAGCAGCTAAAAATGCTAGACATAGGTGTGGGGGCCACCGCCCTAAACAAGTTTATTGTGCTGTTCTTACATTCCAACCCAACCCCCTCTCCCAATGGGGGACAGCAGAGGGATATTCACAGTACCTGCGTGCCTCCCCACCAAGCTTCCCCCCCTTAGGCCTCAGTCCATCTATCCATAGTCCACTGAAACGTAGCTAGGGACAAGGGCTGAGGAAAATGAGAATCTCCCCTTGGAAGAACAGGAGGAAGAGGCTAGAGAACTTGGTAACTCCCACCTCCCGTGCCCTAGGAGAACAGAGGTCAGCAAACAGTCCATGCCATTCAGCCCAGTGGGCTGGGAGTGAGGAGGATGGTAACCCCAGCACAGCTGGGCTTGCTGCTTAGGTACCAGAAGTATAGGGAAGAGGCTGGGGCAGCAACATAGGATAAGCTTTCTGTGCAGATCCAAGAAAGGAAACTTTTTGGAGCCAGAAAGGAAAGACTGGGATACTCTCTTTCTCCCAGGTCCTTAGGAGCAGCAGGCAGCTTCTTGACACACTCTCTTCAGGATGCCGTTTAGTGGCTGGGGGAATGAGCCTTGTGGAACAGGTACACAGGACGCTGGAAGCCTGAGAGGAGAGTATGCAATCAGGAGGGTATGGCAGGATCTCATGACTCCACAGGGTCTGTACCGCCCACCCCCGCCATCAGGACCAGTCTCCCGCCCTCCCTGAACAAAATAAGCCAGCTTTACCTTTGCAGGTGTTGTGGGGTGTGGCCACAAGCTCATAGCTGGAGAAGCCCACCTCTGGGGATGTCAGGTAGGAATTGAACTGCTCTGGCTTCAACTGGATTCGATAGTAGTTCTTATAGGTTGTTTCCTACGGAGAAGAACAGGGGACCATTTCAGCTTGCTGCCTTCTCCCTTGATGGAGAATGATGCTTTGTACCTTGTTTAGAAAATCCTCTTTGTGATTCCTTGAGGACTTTTTCCCTTAACTAAATGGATACACCCAACTTCCACTGAAACTCCAACTCACTGTGAGAGTCTTTCTCTTGCTGTAGGATGACCAAGGTTGGGGTTCCAGGACCAGGATACCCCCAGGGCGTAGGTGCCGGTAGATCCGGCGAAACATGCGCTTCAGGCCCTCATCTCCCCAGTTCAGATGCACCCACTTGGTGAGGCTGAGGCAAAGCACCACATCATACTCGGGTCTTTGGGCCTCCACCAGCTCATCTCGATCCAGCACATAGTTACCCTGAGTGCAAGAATAGGGGATCAAGGTCAACAGACACATTAAAAGCACCACTGCCCCCCCCCCCCCAATTCATACTGTAGCTTCATTTTAACCTCAGGCCACAATCATCTGTGATACCCTCGGTCTCATTTTCTTGTATGGTATTGGTAAATCAAACAAAAAGGAGCCTGGGTAGTTTAAAATTGAGCAAAGTATCCATGAGATCTCCAAAGTTGGGGTGAAACTGCAGAGAAAGAATGCTGAAGTTCCTAAGACCCTGTTCATTAAGCTGAGTGACTCAACGTTGTACAACGTTATAGTTACGGCTGGCAAGGTTTCAGGCTTGTTCCTTCTTCCTGAGAAGTGAAGAGCCCACCCCTTAGAAAACCTTTCCCAGAAAAGCTCATTCCCATCCTCTGGACAATCTATTTTTCCAATACTACTGCAGATGGTCAAACTGAAATGTTTTATGAGTTATGTGGGCAGGGGTTAGACTGAAGAAGACATGTTACCCTCCCCACCTGCAGAAGACTCTGACTCTTCTGTTTCACAATCTAGGGTCAATGTGGAGATGATCTAAGGCTAAGCAACTTAGGTTCCTGACCATGACACTCTTCAACCAACTCTGTATCTAATGTAAAGTCCCTATCAAAGGACAGAAACTGTAAATATTAGCCACAACCCTAATTCTCCCCCTAGCCCAAGACATTCAACATCTTATACCAATCCCTCATGAACCTTTAGTTGGCCGGAGGGCAAGTTTCCATCTGGACCAAATCCTCTATAGAGCATCAGCAGTAACCCCTAAGAAAAGGCGAACTGGTCTGGACTAGTCCAGATAAGGGATCAGAGCAAAAGGAATCAGATCCCACCTGGGGGCTAGCAGTCAAGAGAAAGGAGCCCTGGTAGAGCCCCCGTCTTTCCACATTGTAGGAGAGACAACCAGTGGAACTAGTTGCAGATTCAGACTCTTCTTGAGGCTCTGGTTCTCCAGGTGAGGACTACATGCACAGAAATCCCTCTGGCTCATAATGTTCTCCTGCCTCATTCTCTTTTAATCTCATCCTCATAACTGGCCCTTATCCCAAGACCCTCTTACCGTGACGAAGACAACATTGTTGGGGAAGACTGATGTGTCTGCTCCATCCAAGGGCACTTGGGGTGCAGCAATGGGACCCCGGCTGGCTGTCAGTGAGGCTGGGAAGCAGCTCCTCTTTCTGATGGTTGTGGTCCCTTCCTCACTTTCTGCCCCTGGGTCCCCCTCCGAAGTCTGGGGTGGTAGACGCAGCTCTTCAGACAAGTAGTGTCGGATATTTTGGCGGGCGGAGTGGATGAGCTGGGGATCAATATCCAGGCCTACCATGCGGGATGGACCCCACTTACAGGCAATGCTCAGGGTCAGATGGCCCACATTGCACCCCAGATCTAGGACGTCCCGATCCCGAAACCACTCAGGCTTCAACACCCGAAGGCGACCGTCCTCACAGGATGGATTCCGGTACCCATAGTACTTGGTATAATTCCCATACTGGAACTTGCGTTGTTGTTTTTTGAAACCTGCTGCAGGTAGTTGGTGTAGATGGTGGCGACCTCCCCCACTCCCTCGACTCTTTTCCTTGGGACCCTGGCCTCCACCCCTAGCCCCTGCCTCTGACTTGCTGGAAGTCCTGCGACGTTTTCGATGTCGTGAGGAGGAAGACGGGAGTGCAGAGGTAACTGAGGCAGCTGGAGGAGCTGAATGGGAGCCTGAGGGACCCTGTAGGGCAGATGGAAGGGGAGACACGACCTCATCCCTGCAGTTGATGGCTGTGTTGAGTTCATAGGGCTGGGAGGCATCCCGGTTCTGGCCCCTGTGCCGCTGCTGCTGTGTGGTCCCCTCCCCATGGAGTGAGGGAGTGAGGGGGGCTGTGGGCAGCACAGAGTGGCTATCGTTCCCTCCAGTTGCCTGCTGCTGCTGGTGGTGCTGTCCCCGGTGTCTATGCCGCTTCCGACCAGTCTTGAGTGGTGAAGCAAGCACTACTTGGGCCTCATCAGTGCAAGTATTGAGACTGAGCGGGTCAGTAATGTCTTTGGGGATGAGAATCTCCACTGGATCTCGCCCCTTGGCCGGAAGTGGGGATGACTTAGGGGTCTCTGCATTGAGTGCGCGGCTCACTTCCTCATCCAGAAGACTATTCAGGTTCAGTGGATCAAAGATATTGCCCCCCAGGAGGAAGTTGGAGGGTAATACAGAGTCACAGTCCGAATTAACCCGCCTGCGCCTCTTGAAGGCCGGATGTTTGAAGCCTCCTCCACCTCCCCCTACATTGCAGCTATTTCTCCTCTTGCCCCCACCTCCCCCAGGGGGCCGGTGGGGCTGATAGCCATTTCGGGGTCGAGGCGGGGCAGGGGGGCCCAGTTCTGTTCCGCCACCTCCCCGTCGCTCCTCCCCCACGTCCGGAGGAGCGGCTCGCCCATGGAGATCCGACAATCGGGCCTCCCCATGCGCCTGGGGGCTGCCCCCTGGTTGCTGCTGCGACTGGCCACCCCGAGGAGTGGATGTAGCCCTGGGGCTCTCCTTGCAGGACCCAGAAGCCGGGACTCCAGCTGAGTGTGCGCGTGGGCCCGGCCCGCGCTGCGTCCCGCCGCGGAGCTCCCCGGAGGCGGCCTCTCGGCGCAGTTGCACTGAGGGGCTGCCCCCTCCGCCTGACTCCTCTTTTAGTGGCGGCGGCGGGGCAGGGACCAGAAACAGATCCTTCTCCGCCGCCATCTCTATCATTTCCCCCCTCTTACTCTGTCCCAGTCGAGGGCTACAAGGGGGGAATCAGGGGGCTTAATCCCCCTCCTTAGATCCCGCTCCACTCCCCCCCCTTCCCCGAGTGCGTGCGCAGCTCTGCTTTTCTCCCCTAGTCTCGCACCCAAGCGCCGCCCCCGAAGCGCGCCCCACTCGCCCGCGAGACCAAAACAAGATGCCCGCGACAGCCGAAGAACTCGAGGAAGCAAACGCGCGTGCGCCGACCCTTTTCTCCTTTACCACTACCGCTTTGCCGCGAGCGCGCAGTACTGGAGCGCGTTCCACTCGCCCCAGAAATACGCATGCGCACTCTGCCACCACCCAGGTCGCGCGCGCATCCGAGTACGAACCAACTTAACGGCTCCAGGAGTTTAAATATAGCCCCCCTCAATCCTCCCCAAAAGCCCACAACCCCAAACTGACACCCAACTTCCCTTCGCAGCTATGTTCGTGCCTACTGAAATCCTTTGTCTCTGCCGCGCGAACCCACCCACCGTAGGCGGGGGACGGGGAGCTGGTGTGAAAAGGTCTCCTTGACACCCGACCCTTGTTCCTGAGGAATGAGTCTCAGCGGTCTCCGCCCGGCTCTAAACCCAACAACCTCTCTACCCCGCCTCCTTCCTCCCCCTAGCGGGAAGCGCCTGCGCACACCCTTTTGGGCTTGCGCGGGTAGGAGCAGCACGTGCTGAAGATGACGCCCCGCCCTCCGTCCTAGGGGCGGGGACTGTTACGTGCTTCCCCAGGTTTGGTACACACGTAACTTGCGTCAGCACAACCCGGAGGGGGCCTAGCTAAGGAACAAGGTGGTCGTCATGAATTATTATCTGGTCGTTCCTTTTTGCCCATCTCCTTAGGTTTTCGGAGGGGCGAAGTGGTGAACATTAAAAGTAGAGTAAGGGAAGGAACGTTGTGGACCGTCTTCCAATAAACTATTCTCAGTAAAATACTATGCCATTTTAACTCACCACCGTCCCTCCCTCCCCCAGAAAATATTCTCTGCTGAACTGAAAAAAACAAAACAGCACCAAAACAGTCAATGTGGTTCAACTTCCTTTCTCCGAAATGGCCGTTATTCTGTCCAGAATTCTCCAAAGCGTGATCACCTGGGGACACCACACTCTTACCTCTCCCTCCACACCCAAATCCCTGACACCAACGCCTCCGCACCGCACACCACCCAGGGCCTGCGCTCGAGCTCCTAACCCGCGGACTGAGACCCTACAACCACCACCATCTCACATGCAGGCCTTCCTGACGCCTTCCCGTGCGCACGCTGCGGCATCGCCCCGCCTTATAGAAAAAAAGTGTGGGTAGGGAAGAGGGTTAGCCCTGCTTGGGCCGCTGCCTTGGCGAATGGGAAGCTATTCGACGTCCTTTCTACTCGGGTGCTAGGTGGCCCGTTCTCCCCGCGAACGATGCTTGGGGTGCGGGTCCTGTGGTTGAGAAGAGGGCAGCAGAGGAGAGAATGGCATTACGGAGAGTCTCAAAATATTAAAATAAAAGTGCGAAGGAGACTAGAAGGAAGAATAGGAATCAGGGAACGAAAAGAAGGAAAAGGCAGTTTGGGACAAAGAAAAGTTAGTGAGAAAAGGACACGGTTCCTTAACGATCAGGCGCCGCTGCTGCCGCCTAAAAAAAGAAGCGAGCCCAACCAGGATTATGGGATTTGTAGTTTTAGAGGGCATTCAACTGGAAGATGGCGGCAATCCCTCAGCTGCGCAAGCGCAAACGTACCCTCCGCCTGCGCATGTGCCTCATCACAGAGTTCGCCGCTGGAGGGAACTGTGGAGCTTCTGTGTGGCCTCGCGCCTTTTCTTGGTGGCGGGAAAAGTCGGTCGAGGTTGGAGGGGCTTGCAGAATTGCTGCAGTAGCTCTTGCTGCTCCTCGCCTTTAGGTCCTCCTCGCTCCAGAAGGTAGCTAGTTCTTTTTCGGTTTCAGATGAAGGCGTTATGCGCGGCCATTCCCGGAACCTTTCCTCTGAGAAATTTTCCCTTCATGGCGACAATCATTATTACTCCGGTCTCTTAGAACCTCTAACCTCAGATTCATCTCCAACCAACAAGCAAAGTAACCCCATACATTCAAACTGGTGGGCAACGACGGTCTGAGCCAGAATGAGGATCCTGGTCCCTCAGTGGGAGGACAGCTGAGGGGAAATTCTGTCACGGTGGGGTTCTTGATGGGGAAGAGATGTTAGAAGGACACCGTTTTACTCTGAGGAGCGTTAAGGACTTTTGACTCTGTACTACCTCCGGTCTTAATTGTCCTTAGTAGAGATTTGGGGAGGGAAGATTGAGGAAAAATGGTGATCGCCAAAAATTCTTCCCTCGTGTTTTAAAGGTCGAATTAAGTCCTTTTACTGTTCCAAACCTTGGAACCGTGAGAGGGAAAATGGTGCGAGGATCTGGAAATTGATGATGTGCTCTTTTAAGCGAAAACAACACAAAAAGGCTAGTTGAAGGTCGTAATGGGGCCACATGAAAGTGTCTTTGGCAGTAGATGTCAAGAGAAGATAGCGAGAACAAGATTAGAGTCCCGAATGAGTGTATTTTTGTGATAAGTGGCTATATCTGTGTGCTTCCTTGCACTCTCTAAACCAAGAAGCTTTAGTTCACCATTTATAAGATGCTGTAAAAGGTTCAGTTCAAATACAGTAGTTATGACAGTAATGTCTTGTCAGGTAGGTATAGGCAGTAGGTAGTTGGAATCTTTTCCCTTTTGTCTTGTTAAATGTTTTGAATCATTCCTCCCTAAACACGGGGCAGGGGCGGGAGGGGGGGGGAGAAACAACTATAACTGATCGAGGCATGTAAATAAGAAGAGGTCTACATTAAAGCCAAAAGGAAATCCAACTCCAGCTTAAAGGAGATCTTAAATGCAATCTTTAAATACAGGTTTTTGAGGCTCACTGAGTCTGCGTTAAAAGAGTTTACTTTTATTCTCTTGGACCAAGGATTCCAGGAACAATATAAACAGGGAAGAATTGGATAGTTAGGAGGGAGAAATTTGTGAACACATTCTAAATGGGGGGAGGAGGAGGGAGAATTAACACTTTTTGTAAAATATTGATAAGGCCTTGACTGTAGCTCAGTGGATTGAGTGCGGGCCTGCAAACCAAAGGATCGAGGTTTGATTCCCCGTCAGGGCACATGCCTGGGTTGCAGGCCAGTTCCCAGCAGGGGGTGGACAAGAGGCAGCCATACATTAATATTTCTCTCTCTCTCCTTCCCCTTCTAAAGATAAATAAATAAAATCTTTAAAAAATTGGTAAGGCTGAATTAAGTTATTTAGGTAGACTAGTTCTCAAACATGTTATACACTTAAAAATTCTAAAGGACTCCAGAGATTGGCTTATATCTATTTATATATTTTTGGTATGAATATATTAGAAATTATACCGAGTGTTTAATTTCTGACTGAAAGGCAGAAATTGAATGGAGAAAATTTTAAACATTCATTAACATTAAAGTAACAATAAATCCATTACATGTTAACATAACATTTTAAAAAAAGATTTTATTTATCTTTAGAGGAGAAGGGAAGGAGAGAGGGAGGGAGATATCAATGTATGATTGCCTCTCATGTGTCCCCTGCTGGGAACTAGCCTGCATCCCAGGCATGTGCCCTGACTGGGAATCGAACCCTGATACTCTGGTTTGCAGGCCCTCGCTCGATCCACTGAGCTACACCAGCCAGGGCTTTAAATGAAATACATTTTAATGAAAAATGTATTTTCCTATATGAGAGGAAAGTTAGTATGAGGAATGGTGTTTTATGTTTTTACAATATCTTTCATGTCTGACTTAATAGAGGACAGCTGGATTTTCATCTGTTTCTGAATTCAATCTGTTATGATACAAGCATATGTCATTTTATTGCACTTCACTTTACTGCACCTCACAGGTGTTGCTTGTTTTTTTTAAACAAATTAAAGGCAAGACCTTCCACCAACAAAAAGATTACCACTTACTTTATTGTGGTGATTTGGATGGAGCCAAACCTGCAATAAATCCAAGGTATGTGTATGCTTATATCTTGTTTTGGGCGAAGTATCAGAGAAAATCTAGCCTAACACAGATAAGCAGTTGGAAAGGGGAAGGGACCCCCAGGAGTCTTTGGATCACACTTTGAGAACTGCTGAGCTAGGTGATTTTATTTTAAAACCAATGTGTTGATTTTTAGTGTTTAAATGAAAAAAAAATGTTTTTATTTCTTGGAACACTTCGTTCACCTTCTCTTGGTTCCCTGTATTTATTGTTCCTAAGTTCTTTTTCCTTCCATATTTATCTTTCTTTTTTATGTTGGATAAGTAACATCTGAGTTATGGAACTTTCTTTTACTTTCAAAAATGAAAATTAAGTGGATTTTTTCCCCTCTCTTGCATTCAAGCTAAGAAAAGAGATTAAAACCAAAATTGTTATTCCTGGGTTTAGAGTCCCCAGTCATTTAGTAGTTGGTCAAATGAAGGGTGGAGTATTTTGTGTATTTATTAACTATTTTAAAATATTTCTCTGAACTAGATTTCAGTATTTGTTATTGTGGAAGAAAATAATTAGTCTGGAACAGAGAAGCAGACACTTGAGTTGTCAGTGACTTTCTGTCTTTCCTTTCTCTATTGATCAGGTTAGAGATTTTCTTGAAAAGTACTTTATCACATTCCCACTCTAGATTAAAAGGGAACTATTATACATTACTGCTTATAGATTTATTACAGTTTATTAACTCAGTAATGATCCATAATTTTATCCAGTTGGTTGTGGCTCTAGTAACACACTTTTGCCTAGAGAGGTCAGTATGAGCTTAGATAATGATTTGAACATAACTCAGAAATTTTTTCTTTTTTAAAACTTTTTTAAATAAAAAAATATTTTATTTACTTATTTATTTTTAGAGAGAGAGGAAGGGAAGGAGAAAGAGTGGGAGAGAAACATCAATGTGTGGTTGCCTCTCGCAGGTCCCACACTGGGGACCTGATCCACAACCCAGGCATGTGCCCTAAATGGAAATTGAACCGGTGACTATTTGGTTCACAGTCCAGTATTCAATCCACTGAGCCGCACCAGCCAGCACAAAATTTTTGCATTTTTAAGTTGATCAAAGTACTCTATTTTACTTAAAGAATTTATAATTTTTTTTAAGATTTTATTTATCTTTAGAGGGGAAGGGAAGGAGAGAGGGAGAGAAACATCAATGTATGGTTGCCTTTCATGTGTCCCCTGCTGGGAACTGGCCTGCAACCCCGGTATGTGCCCTGACTGGGAATCGAACCACGATTGTCTGGTTCGCAGGCCCGCGCTCAATCCACTGAGCTACACCAGCCAGGGCTAAAGAATCTATAATTTAAAAAAATCACCTTTAAAGTGATAGATAATATGTATATGTTACAAAATGCTAGAGATGCACAAGTGGGTACAGTAAAAAGCTGCCTTCCACACAGTTTCATTTTCTAGTGGCACTTTTGTCCATTTCTTGTGTTCTTCCAGAGATGGCTTATGGATATACAAGCATATTATAGAGATGTACATTTTTATAAATCAAATGTTGTGAACTCAAATACACTAATTTTCACTTCCAATTTAGTATAGCTCTTTTTGTAATTTAGATTACCTTCCAAAAATGGTAATCTTCAGAGGGACTTTTAGAAATAGGGACTCTTCATTATTTTTTTTTTATTCTGGAATCTGGGAGAAGATATATGTTTTTCATTTGCAATGAAATTAATGTTCCTTTTGCAGCCAATTTTATTCAGGAATTTAACTTCTATTTAGGATTATCACCAACCAGTTTGCTGTAGTGTTTCTCTTCCCAATTTCCCATTTGCCTTTTTTCTTCAAGCAAGTAAATTTTGGTGTTGGTGGTGATAAGTTATGATGGAAAAAGTGAGAAAATGTGCCCCTTAATATGAAGGAAAAGTAGTTATTGTAGAACAGTACATCACAATTATCCATATTTATAGAATTAAGAAAAGGAACAGAAAAGTACTAAAAGATAATTAAAAAATACTTTACATTCAGCCATGTTGTAGCCACACTAAGTCAAGCCTCAACCTTCTGAATTGATCTTAGGAACCAGGGAGAGAAACTCTACATTCTGAACAACTGAGTGTTTACTATAGCTTGAACATTTGAAGGTCTTAAAATTTTCAGATCCTTTACAGGGAACTGTATGTGCACCAAAAGACCCATTTTATGCTGCTTTTGGGTCCCTAAAGAGGGTAAGTGTGGGTGGGAGATGGTAGAGTTGGAAGATTGAGTTTCAAGTCTAGGGCCCTCAAAGTACTCAAAACCAACAGCCAGAAATAAGATCATAGAGAAGAATAGATGTGGCATTAGTAGGATTTGAAAACCAAAGACCTGGGTTCAGCTTGGCTCAACCATGTATTAACAGTGAAGTTTTGGGGAAGCCACTTAACGTCTCTTCGTGTGTTTATCATCTGTAAAAAGGGGAGATGGCATTTTATGACCTGTAAAGACCCTACCAGATTTACAATGTTTAATTATAACTGTTACAAAAATAAAGAAAACTGGGTAGAGAATTATAAGTTTAGGCTGATAAAACAAAAAGCTCAGTAGAAATAATATCAATAGTGGAAAGTATAAATTGGAAAAATGTATAAATTACTAGAACATCACCCACAAGTTGTCT